GAAAAACTGTGTGATACCAGTGTATGTGTATTTGAGATAATATCTGTATAATCAGTAACTCTTATAACCATGAGATACACTGTTTTTTGCATACATTATACATTAAGTTTTTAAGTCAAGAATTCCATATTATTGTAAAATAAGTTCATTGCAGTGCAATAGCAATATGCACATTGATGTTAAACTCCATTACTAGATGAACTGGAAAAAGTAGAATGTTCACTCTGTTATTAACATAGCTGTCAACAAAAAACCAGTCCAACAGGTGCAGAAGCACAGTAACAAAAATATAATTAACAATATAGCTATCTTATTAAAGTAAAAACAAGGTCATTGTTTCCATTCTTCTTTCCCTTTCTTATAAATATAGTAGTTAATTCTGATCATGTATCCTTATTTAATCTCCTGTGAACAAATACTATACCAATATTCAAATATATCATCACTGTCATCTCATTAAATAGATTATTATTATTACTGAAAACTCATCAATGCTTTCATGGCTATTAATAGTTTCATGTGATCTAAAAAAAAAACAAAACTAACTTTTGGGACTAGCAGATGACATAATGATTACATTGCTGGACTCCCATATAACTAACAGTGGTTTGAGTCTCAGACCTAGCAGCTTAAAACTCGTGCCAGACACATGTGCATGCATGCCCAAGATCCCAAGAGGAGAATGGAGAAGGGATTGCAGCATGGCCATCCCACCTGGGGGGTGATGTCTCTGTCTCTCTGGTGAGTGCACATACCTATAGCAAAAATTTCACTTAAAAAAAAAGTCTAATTTCCTTGGAACCAGTAGGTGGTGTGGTGGTTAAGGCACTGGAATTCCTACATGGCCAATAGCCGTTCGAGTCCTGAACTTGGTGACTTGCTTTCTCACTCTTTCTCTCTGTCTTTCTCTGGCAAAACTTATGTGAAAACAATAATAATAAATTAATTAAATCATTCTTTAAGACAAACAAATAAAATAAAAATTCAACTTCCAAAGTAACTGGCTAATACATTTTTTTAATTAATAAACAGCCACCACACACCAATATTGTTACCAGTGTTTAAATATGGTATTTAACACACTTTAAATTTTTCTTGCTTTCACTTGAGCAAATCACTAATTATGTTGTCATAATCAAGATTTTAAAACAATCTTGTTTGAGTGACAATAAAGTCCAAAATTAAATGAGCTTTGTTGAGTCATTGTATGTTTTAAAATTTAAAACTTCATTTCAACTTGGAAAAACTGCTCTCCTAAGGCAGTAGCAATTTGAATTGTCAATAAATTATTATACATATATACATATATATATATATATTTTTTTTTTTTTTGCTAGAGGGCACATGTATTTACCAGAGAGACATAGAGATAGAGAGGGAGAGGAGAAAGTACCCTTCATGGTGAATGATCACCCTGCAATCCCTTCTCCTTTATCTCGCTCTCCTTTCAGGATTTTGGACATGCATGCATATGTGTCCAGAGCGTTTCTCAAGTTGCCAGGTCTGGGACTTGAACTGCACAGTCAGCCATATAGAATCTGGTTGCCTTAACCACCAGGCAATGGAATTGGATCATCGGTAAAATTCTCTCTCTCTCTCTCTCTTTTTTAAAGAGAGATTTTTGCTATAGGGCACATGAACTTGCTGGAGAGACAGAAAGCGAGAAATAGTGCCCTCCCCCCCCATGGGGGATAGCCACCTTACAATCCTTCATTGTCCTCTCAGGATTTTGAGCACGCGTGCACATGCACCTGGCGTGAGCTTTAAACTACCAGATGCAGGACTCAAACCACAGTCAGCTATGTGGGAGTCCAGCAACGTAACCATTATGCTATCTACTGGTCCCATCAATACAGTTCTTAAAGCAATACTTTAAACGATGTATGATGAGGGGGCAAACTGGTGGTGCAGAGGTTAAACACAATGGAAGGTTCCCTCCTGGCCACATCAGGAGTCCCTGAGTATGCCAGGTACAAGTGTGCCCAAGAGCCAGGGCTGGCTGAAGGGTGGATAGTGGCATCAAAATCCTGTTGGTGCCGTCTGTCTGTCTTTCACTTTCTTTCTCTCTCTCACTCATGGAAAAAAATAAATAAACTTAAAAATTTTTTTTTCATGATGACCAGCAGATGGAGTAATGATTACTTTGCTGGACTCCCATGTGGCCACCACAGTTCAAGTCCTGGACCCAGAGGCTTGAAACTCACACAGGGCATGTGTGCATGCATGGCCAAAATCCCAAGACGAGAATGGAGGAGAAGAAATTGCGGTCGGGCCATCCCCCTTGGGAGGCGATTTCTTGCTTTCTGTCTCTCTGTCTCTCAAAAAGTAAAAAGAAAAATAAATTTTTTCCATGTATTATGAACTGTATATATTATGGTAAAATATTATAAGAACACATAATGGATAATGTAACACATAATTATACCTAACATTAAAATAAATGTATAAAAATTAGAAGCATATATAATAAACTATATTTTTAGATCATCATATAAACCACTACCACTTTTCATCATTACTTAAAACAACAGCTGGGGATCTACAGATGGCGTGGTGGTTACGGTGCTGGACATTCCCACATGACCAACCAGGATCGAGTCCTGGACCTGGTGGCTTGCTTCCTCATTTTCCCTCTCTCTCTTTCTCTCTCTGTGTCTCTCTCTGGTCAAATTAAAATAAATGAATGGATAGATAAAATTAAATAAATAATTCTTTGGGAGAAAAAAAACAACAGCTAATGGCTCAGTTATTGTGGTACAACAGTAATACAGAGTCAAAAATGTAACAACTATAAAATCAAAGTATATAAATGTCTACCAGTGTAAATTTATATCATCCTCACTAATTGTTAAATTTGTTATAGTCACAGCTACATATCCCCTTCTTCCTTTATTTTATTTGAAGTTTTTGCCATAGTGCATGTGCGTTCACCTTAGAGAGACAGAGAGAGGGAAAGTGAGAAGTCATCCCGGGGAGGATGGCCATGCAGCAATCCCTTCTCCTCCCTTCTCCTCTCAGGATTTTGGCCATGCACACATACCTGGCAGTAGTTTCAAGCTACTGGGTCTGGGACTCGAATTGCACTCAACTATATGAGAATCTAGCACTTTAACCACCATGCCATTTGCCAAATCCATACTTTTTCCCTCATTAACAGAACTCCAGGCTTTTAGGGACATAACCCAGTAAAAGATTACACTTCTCAGTATCATTTTTTTTTTTTTTTTTTGCCAGAGGGTATGCGTACATGGTGTAGAGACACTGAGAAAGGATGGGGGTGAACATTCCCCAGGGGGCAAGCTCATGCTCCAATCTCGTGTCTCTCTCCCCATCCTGTGGGATTTTGAGTCCACATGCACACATACCTGGCGTATTTTTCAAGCTACCAGGGCTGGGATTTAAACTGCATGTGTAGCCATGTGACATCCCTCTCCCTTAGCCACTAGGGCATTGGGCCAGTCCCAAAATAATTCTTTTTTCAAAAAGCATTTAAAAAATTGAATTGAAAGAAAATGAAAATGGAACATATTGAACTTTGTGGACATAGCTAGTCATTCTGAGAGAAAATTTATAGTATTAAATCTATATATTAGAATAAAGGGGGACCAGCAATTAGCGTAATGGCTATGTCACTGGACTCCCACGCTGGTCTACTGCGGTTCGAGTCCTGGACCTGGTGGTTTAAAACTCATGCCAGGAGCACGGGCATGCATGTCCAAGATCCTGAGAGGAGAATGGAGGAGAAGGGATTGCGTGTGGCCATTCCCCCGGGCGGTGATTTCTCGCTTTCTGTCTCTCTCGCTCTCTGCCTGGTGAGCACATGTGCCCTATAGCAAAAACCTCTCCAAAAAAAGAAAAAAGGAAAAGTCTTGGATGGAAAAATCTAAGATCCCATCTTTGTTTTCTACTAAATGATTCCTGGCTGCAGAATGAAAGACTGATTCAGAGGATAGACTGAAGATTCAATATTTTTGTATCACTAGCGGGTTTTGTATGCTATTCAGGAACACAAGGATGAGACAGCCCTGTGCATCCTCTTCACCTAGCAGCAGGCCTAACACATAGTTGGTTCTCAGTAATTCATTCAGGTGACTGAATGAATTCAGATTTGTTCAAATGACACTCCAACTGTAATGCAGCGGATGCTGTGGTCCAGATCCCCTCTCTCCCAGGACCTAGCTAGTCATTCCCCAGCTGGGAGTTGGTTGCTGATGACTCACAAAGGAGTTCCTCTCTGGGAGCTGCCCTCCAGCGAGGAAAGCCCAAAGTCAAAGCGCCTCCCCAAGCGGATCTTATATCCGGGACTGCTCTACCCAAGGATGTAATTTCTGACCTCCTTGCTTTCATTTGGGACAACTCTGAAGAGTCATCCCAGGCTCAGAGCGTTCTTTGGGATTGGCTAAGGCCTTTGCAGCGATGGTTCTGCATTTCAACTTCTCCCTCCGCCTAATCCCACTCCCATCACTCTCTTATAGGTGAAGATATTGAAGTATCCCCTACCCCCACCAATAAAACTCCTGCATTTTCAATATCCCTCGGAGTCTTCAGAAAATTCAGCCAAGACACAACATATTACCTTGTTTTATTTCTCTTTTCCTAGCACTTATCACGGTGTGAAATAACTTTTATTTATACTTTAATACTTGCTAGTCTACCGTCAGAACGTAAGCGTACCAGGAGGGATCTTTTTTCTCATACTCTGTGCACCGCTGTATTAAGCTCTCAGGCGGGACCTGCAGAACACAGCAGACCTTAAATACTGGTTATTGAAACGAATGACTGGCTGGGTCTGACGGTCACAGGGCCTCTCAAGAGCTTGTAACAAGCACATGGGAGCCACGGCTGGGGGCGTGGCCCCAGAGTCCCCGCCCGACCGGGCAGAAGGCGGGCCCTTCTGACACAGCAGCGGGAGCAATGCAGTTACCAGCGGTTCGGGTGGTGTGGCTGGG